CCCCGCAGAGCCCCGTTCACTGGCCGGGAGGTCCCGCTCCAGCCCGTGGAGCGGCCGGGCTCTCCTCCGGCCCGCGGGGTCCCTCGTCCCGCCGCGCGGCCACCCCCTTCTCGCGCTACGCTGGTGCTTCTGAGCAGTACCTCGACTCTCGTTCCCACGTTGAATTTGGCTTGTTGCCCCATGGCGAGGAAGGAAACTGCGATCTTGTCCTGGCCCAGGATGCGGACTCCCACGTGCCGGTTCAGGGAGATGAAGATGGGACTCAGCGGGACGGGCGGCCCTGGCGACGCTCTGGCGTTCGGCCACGTCCACGTTCTCACCCTGTTGCCTGCCTGGTCCAAGTACTGCCCGCCATGAATATTCATGTGTATCCTAACGGGAAGGAGGAACGGGCAGCTCCGCAGCCGAGCTAACGAGGAGCAGCCTGTGCCCAGCTCCCCGCGGCGGAGGGACCGCACGCGCGGCCAGGCGGGCACGAGCCGAGCCCCCTCCTGGGCTCTGACCCAACACACACATCTTCCTGCTCCTACAACGCAGTCCTGGGGCCTTTCTGCTCTGGGGCACCTCAGACGCTCGCTTGGACTCAATGATTGGGAAGGTCTTCTCCAACCATAATGATTCTGTGGTTCTAAAGCAGGACCCCACGAGCTCGATGCAGTGGCTGAGACAGCCCAGCACCTCCCAGGCGTGTTCAGCTCCTGGGAAACCCTTCTGGCAGGGACCAGAATACAAAAAAAAGTGGAAAAACAAGAGGCCTGAAGCCCACCGAGTGCTTTGTCCTCCTTACACTATGTAATATATAAAAACCACAACAGCCAAACAGCTTGGCTTTGAACATTACCGGGACAAACACATTTCCCCGGTGCCGCGAGAGGGAGCGGGCAGGTGGAAGATGGCACTGATTTCTCCCCGAGTCCTCCGGGCCAAGGCCTCCTGCCTCATCGCCCGCGATGCTGCGGCACACAGCGACCCCCTCAGCAAGTGCTGCGGCGCGCCGAAGGCCTGGGCTGTTTCCAGTGGTACTAATGAGCCTTTGCAAAAAAAAAATCCTTCCTTTCCCTGCAGCTCGCCTCTCCC